GTCAATAAAAAATAGGCGAGATAGGTTGGTAGGACACCTTCTCAGGCATGAAGGTCTAGTCAAACATATTAGAGGAAGAAACAGGAGTTAGGAGGCAGTTAAGAAGAGTAGAGGTAGACCTAGATTAGATTACTGTTTGCAAATAGTTAAGGATGTGGGCTGTTCTAGTTTTAGGGAAATAGCTCAGGATAGGAAAGAGTGGAGGTACGTGTCCAACCAGTCTTAGGACTGATGACCTTATGATGATGATGATGTATAATGTTTTAGACTAGCCCTAACTAATCCAAATTTATCGATGGTGCATAGAGCACCATTCCTTCTACAACCTAATCTGAACCCTTACTATTTTTAGAAAAACAACCTGAGCTCTTGATCATATAAATCGGTAATCTTCAAAGTATTTCCTTTTAGACAACATTTACCGGATAGTGCAGTTTTATCTACGGCTTAGTGATGCATATAAAAACAAACCTATCATATAATCTTATCATATAAGTATAACTACCCGTAACCCGTCCAGAACAATCTTTTTGTCGGTGTTGCGTAGTATTTGACCCTTAAAATGCAGGCTGTAACAGAAATAAATATTCAATACTCCTTCTCAACTTACTAACTCTTGTATTCTTGATTAAAGTTGGTTTTTATGGCGACACATCCAATTTTTTATCATGAAGTTTGATGAACTGGGCCATTAGAAGAAGCTTTGTAAGAATATCAGCTGTTATATATTATACTAAACTGCCGTTTCTCGTACAAATGACGCACAAAGTTGTACTTTATGTTTACATGTTTAAGTTTTTTGTGCTTCCTCTTGGAGAGCAAATGAATAAAGGACTTGTTGTCTTCGTATATCGTTGGTAAAACATTGCTAACAACTTTGGCTTCTTCAAGAAGACTTTTCGTCCAAAGTAGATCGGATGTTGCTGATGTCAGCGCAGGATACTCAGCTTCAGTTGAGGAAAGTGCAACCGAGTGCAACCAAGGTCTGTCAATTGGTTATCCAACAAATGATGCTGCCGAAAATCTTTATAACAAATCCAGAGGTAGATTTCTGATCCATTTCCCTTCCAAAGTAAGCGTAGACGTAGCATGTTAGAGGTTTATGTTCTCCTACTTTTGTATACAAAAGTCCAAAATCAATAGTTCCCTTAATGAAACGTAGTATCCTCTTCAGGCATCTCCATCGGACTTCGTTTTGTTTGTGCTGCAAGACTTAAATCAGGTCTTGTACCCAGCATTTCCAATATTATACGCCCGACGCGGTCTCTGTAAGGTTTGGTGTCCCAAATTATGCCGTTTTCATAACTGAGAATACGAGTTGTTTCCATCGGTGTGTGGGTAGGATTCGAGTTGTTAATCCCAAACCATTCAAGCATCCTTTACAAATAAGCCTGCTGGCTTAAATGAAGTACCTTGTCTAATTGTTTAATATATATAGATTTGTTGCTGGTTCACCCAAATCTTTCATAAATATTTTATTTTTTAGGGCTTTCTTGGTATCGTTTATTTTTTTTCATCGCTTACTTTAATTAAAATATCATCAATATACAAGATAAGGAAAATACGGATTTGATAGCATTCCATAATATAGAGAAATTGTCGATTGTATTGTTCGATGCTCTGGGAGCCTGTTTTAATCCGTATATAGCCTTTTTAAGTTTGCAAGCTGAGTCAGTTTTATTCTCAAAGCCATCTAGGATCTTTATAAATATCTCCTCTTCAAACGCGTTTTGGACATCCACGTGACAAGCTATAAAATCATCCTGTACGATAAAGGATAGAATAGTCCTCAGAGTCTTTAGTCTGGCTACTGAAGCGTGAACAATACCTTTTCTTGTACCGTTCAATATTTCTATTGTCATCTCGTTTCAAGTGGAAAACCCACTTGTTATTTATTGAACGTTTGTTTCCAGGAAGACTGCAGAGCTCCCATGTATCGTTCTTTAACAGGGCTAACATTTCTTCGTTGATTTCTTGAATCCATTCTTGTTTATCTATCGCTTCGAGAGGCTATTTCTTCAAATGTTTCCGATGTATCTTCTATTAATGTTTCTACATGGACGGATTAAACGGCATAATCCTCGGGATACCGAGATCTGGTTATGAATCGGCAAGTCTTGAATCATTGGGTCTCCTATTTCTTCGGGGTCGTTTCAGGATTTTAAATGCTCTGCTTTTGACATGTTTTAAGAATTTTGCTGTTTCTGTTTGCCTTCGTCTGAGTATTCCTGTTTCTTCATTTCTTTGAAATGACTCAAGTTGTTGCTGCTGCAAACGAGAACTTTTTCTCGTCAAATATGCCCAAAAACAATTTTCCGGTTTACGGGTCCCAGCGCTTATATCCATAGAGCAATATCCAATGACGAAACATTTCTGCGATTTAGATCTACATAATCATCTCTTGCTGACTCCGCACTTATTTCTGTCACACCCTCTATTTCAATAAAATCCTTCAATGTCGCTATATTTTAATGTCTGTTTATATTTATATATTTAATCCTCGATTCAAAAATTTGATGATCCTAAAATAACTAGCATGTATGCAACCTAATACACACGAAAATATCAACTAGACACACATATATGCCAGGTTCGTCGAACTGGATGGTGTATTAAATGTTTTAGGGAAACTAAGCGTGTAAGAAATCTGAAAATTTGGCAGTAAGGATTATTGAGAATGATCTTTTTAACTAAAATAATTTCAACTGTTGGCCTCTTCCAATTATTCCAGAAATTGATGCCAATATTTTTTTTAAAAGTCACGACAATCTCGCATATATGACAGAAAATTTCAGTAATTTAAATAAAAAAATGTGTATTTAGAAAAATTATTAAAAAAAAAACGCAAGTATCAGGTTAAATGAGCATGAGCAAGATTTAATACACAAGACCAAGACCAAGAACAAGAACAAGACTATATCAGCAAGACCAATACCAAGACTGAGACATTCTTGGTCTTAACCTTGATTTGCTTATCACTAGTTAGAATCTAAAAATTTTTAATCGTCTATTATTATTCTACTGTTATTAATATTTTATTAAATTAAATAGTAAAACTATTTCAACATACTCAGATCAACATCAGCAAATGAACAGAAATATTCCGCAAGCAACGAAGACTTTGGACAACTATCAGCCCGTAGGACTAAGTCGTCTTCTACGCGCACAGTTTTTCAGTCGTTGGTTTCCCGGTCAGCTCCTCACACACCGGTTCTATGTCAAGATGGATGCATACTAAAGCCGATACCACGTCTTTTATCAGAGCCTACTGTTGTTCAAGGCAAAGAATACATAAATGACATTAAGTGGAAAAGCTTGCAAACTCCACCAAACACATAAAACGCTAGCTATATTATATATGTTAATTGTTTGCTCTATAGCAAATAGAATTGTAAAACACCAAAAGTCAACATTATCAATGAAACTAATAATAGTAAAGTGAAAATATTACATAGTTCTGGTCAAAAATCCTTTTCAAAATTTGTAATTATGTAATTGTAAAAAACAACTGTATAAATAAACATAACTTTCTGTAAAAAATATTCCAATACTTAATAAAATAATTGTTTATGAATAAACAAATAGCAACACTGTTGATTTATTTCGTTATCCAACTAACATCTGAGTTAGTTTAGTAGTATACACGCCGTGATGTAAAAGCACGCTTATTAATTTTAAATATTAAGTTTTCAAATTTTGCAGTAAGATAAACAGTATTATCTTCTCAATCATATATTTTTCAATGAGAACACATATCTTATAAAAAAAATTTTTTAAGAAAAAATCTTTAATGATCAAATTACTAAAATCTAAAAATTTACCGAGGTTACATGACGTTACTCGTATAAAAAGAAAACAAATTTTTATCTCTCTGCGTTAAATAGCATTTTTTATAATGTACAACCAAAATCCAAGAGATGCGAAATGAGCAAGATACGGACTAATCAGCAATCCTCCATTGCAGTCACACGAGCAACTACATGATAATTCCGCCGCTGGACCATCTAAAGCTTGTTGTAGTTTTGGGTAATGTCCCTTTCATCTTGATGAATTGTTTCGCCACACTCTGTCGTCTTCATTAAAGCCAGCAAAGTTGGCTCATACCTTTTGCTAAAGTAATCCTTAACAACCAAGATGTATTAATGCATACGTTCACGACTTCTTGTCCTTCCCTTTCTTTCATTTGCTAAACCAGTCTTCTAAATCGTCTCTACTTCGTAGCCAATAAAATCGGTGGCGTACCTTTCTTAGAGTCCTCGAAACTCCGAAATGTCCTAAGCGATTGTTTGCTTTTAAGACTTATGAAGCTGTTCTATCGGAAGTACTACTTTAAGTTTGTTTCTGGTTCTATCTGGACTCTCTCACATTCTCGATATCTGGCTTAGGTGGTTTACATCTACACACGATGACCTTGAAGCTCCGGTTTTTTCTCATTGTTGGGCCAATATCTTCATCTTTCTATTGACCATCGATTAATTCCATACTTCCCAGAATACCTCAGGCTAACAGGTGCTTAGATTACAACAGATCCCAGTTCTACTTTCTTCTCCGTAGATGAACAATGATTGCAGTTTTCCACGTATAGTCTCCGGGATACTGCAAATGGGTTCTGTGTTGTCTGCCTGGACAACGTTCGATGTTGAATAATCGAGCAATTTGAACTTCAGGTTTCTTGAATTGCAATAGCCACTCTAGGTAGTCGTGATACGTACTTAAGAGAAAGTTTTTTCCATAAAGGAGTACCTTTATAGTAATAGAAATGTTCGAGTTTTACCCACAACCACTAGCTCTCGACAGGCGATGCAATAATTTTATTCTTGTTTCGAGAGTATTTTACTAAAATACCCGATGACCTGTTCCCTTCTGTCTTGTATTTGGGATGACGCACCACGTCCCCCATTACTAGCGTCGGGATCAAGGATAAAGGGTTCACTGAACTTTGGGCGTAATCATCAAGTTGTCAAATGCTTTTTAGCATTCGGGTGCCCATTGGAATGTAATTCTGCCTTCTGTAAGTATGTGTAGTGGTCGGGTTATAACGGCAAATCCTCTGGTATCTACAAACCTTGTGCTGTATCTATCTTGTCAGGGTCGGTCATAATTCATTCCGTTGTTTTGACATGAGCTTCGCGATGTTTGCACCTCAATTTTAGCGTTAAATTGTTCTACCATTTCAAGAGACTGTGAATGTAAGGGCGTAGTCCTCGTTTTAGTAATGCCCATTAATTCAGTGATCTTGAGCAAAGCCAATTCGAAGTTCCTGTCTAGGGCGGAATACAATTTCAAAGGTACTCCATATCGGCTAATCCAGTCATTGATAAGCTTATCAGCAACAGTATGTGCTTCCTACTTCGGTATCGCATATGCTTCTGGCCACTTGCTAAAGTAATCTTGATATAATACACTATTATTATTATTGAATATTATTCTGTAAACATCGACAGCGACCTTCGTACGTCCATTCTGGGGAGATCGACAACTAGCCGCTAGTTTTTCCCTGACATCTCTACCCCTAATTACCTCGTCCAAATACCTGTCCTACCCCTTGCTGCAACCAAACTCGTACACAACTACTCGTTTCTATCTATCTTAAATTTACACTTATTGATTTATTTTAATATTTTCCTCTCAATAATTCATTCTTTATTTTCTTGCTCTTATTGGTTGTAGTATTCTCTCTTAACTATTCTTTTCTTCTTTATTGTCTTCGTCACTGTTTCTTTTAAGTTTTTCACCCCACTTCCAACCCCTCTTTTTCCAACCCTTGCTTGGTATTGGGGTTTGTATAAATAACCGATGCTTTCCTCAGTACCAGCACCAAGCACACTCTGTGCTCGACCTTTGTCATACGAATATCCCGTACTTTACGCCGATATCTATTACCGAAATGATCAGAACCTTTTCCACAACGAACCAGGCGTTCAACACAACTGACAAATTTATTATTCAAGACCGACGATATGTTCTGCTCAGCCGTAATAGGTTAGAGGTTTTATCTATTTTTAACTAACTAACAGTTCTCTTAAGTGACCCATATACTACTCACGGCATTACCGCCCGTAGGTCAATTAGTATTCAGGACTCAATTCGTGTCTACCCCAGCTCCATCGACGATTTTCTTCGTCTATCCTTATTCCTGGACGAATCGAGTCCGAACTCAGTGACAAAGGCTTTATTATTAAAGGCATCTATCGTATGTCCAAAGGTATCAAAATCTGCCCCCTTGTCTCAGTCCGTCAATTAAATCGCTTTAAATTCCAAGACAATTTTCGATGTTGGTAAATTCTGTGGTCTCAACATCAAAGTTGAGCCAAAAAAATCTACGAAGGAACTTTCCCAGTGCCGCCGCACATAAACGCAGAGTGCAAACCAAGGACAAAAAGATTCCACTCCCACTTGTGCCAACTGCAAATGGAACCACCGCGCCACCTACCGCGGCACCCGCAAGTTTCCCAAAAAGACCTCCCCTGCACCCCCAAGGTTCCCAAAAAGACCTGCCCTTCACCCCCCAAGAAAATCGCCACTCCTGTTGCTTCCCAAGGCACAAGAACACCCCAGCTTCCTGCTACCACCTTGGCAATGCCCTCCCAAAAATCCTACGCAAAGGCATTAAGAACTGCCCCCCTTCCCCACTCAAAGGCGTAACACAAGCACTTCTCCAGCTGTACTTGCAATCCCAAGTTTGGAACAAGAACTTCAAGTTATTGTGCAAACCATGGTCGCCAGCATTGTCGCCGTCTTACAGCAAACCACCAATGTCTAACACCGCCGACCCAGTCAATCTTCGCGAAGTTACCTGGAACGCGCAAAGCATTTAAGGTAAATTGACTGAATTCGAGCACTTACTCGAGGACAAGTCAATCGGTGTTGCTTGCATCACCAAAACTCACCTGTCCGAAAAAATCCAATTTTTCGTCCCAAACAGTGCCAGCGGTTTCGCCATTCTTGTTAGGAATTCTATAAAGCATAGGCCTATCTCTTTGGCCACAAACTCGTTACAAACAGTCGGCATCGAAGTTTCGCTAATTTTCGGCCATCTTAGGATTATCTCTCACTCTACTCCCCCCCCCTCGGACAGATACCTTTCTGAACTGACCCTTCTACTCCCCCAAGCTTTCCAACTATCGCCGCCGGCGATTTCAACGCAAAGCACGTCTCTTGGGGCTGTCGACAAACCAATAGTAAAGGCACCCTCCTTCTTGCCAAAATTCTTGACTTCAACTTCACAGTTGAAGCACCCCCTGACCCCACGTTCCTCCCTGCCCCCCACAATCAATTCCCTGACATCCTTGACTTTTTCGTCACAAAAAATGTTACACATTCCGCCGATCCTATCGTCATTGATGCACAAGTTCGGACCACCTTCCAGCTCTAATTGAAGTCGGCCGCCCAATCAACAACACCCCAAACCCAACCACGTCACTAAATTGGCTACACCTCCGTTACACCCTCGAAGCATCTTCATCCAAGTGCACCCCAATTCGCACAATTACGGAACATGACGAAGCTGTGAATATCCTTTCAAACGAGATTACCAGCTCAATCCAGCTCTCCACTAACTCCCGCCCAATGCTCACCAAAGACAGAACCTTCCCCGCAGACATTCTTGACCTCCTTAAGAGGAAAAACAAGACCCGATGTCTGTGGAATATACACCGTGCAGAAGTAAACGCCCTTCAACGAAAAGTAAAACTCGTCTCAACGAATTCCGCAGCACATCCTTCGATAATTATGTCGCTCAGGCAGAAACACAACCCCGAATTACTTGGAAAGTGATCCGTTATCTTCGTAACAGAGCTTCCCATCTTCCGCCACTAAAAACACAGAACGGATCCACCTATTCTTCAGACGAAGAAAAGGCTGCAATCTTCGCACACTCTTTATGTCTCCAGTGCTCCCCACTACTTAGTCCAGTGGACCTTGCCAACTTTCACGAGCATACCAAAGCCGTCTCCCAGAACATCGCTCCCCTGAATTCCGATACCAAACACACGTCCCCACGCGAAATCTTCCTCACCACCCGATCTCTAAAAAAGAGAAAAGCCCCTGGCGCTGATGGAATTCCCAACGGTCATCTGTCTCCCCAAAAAAGGGAAGCCCCTCAGCTCTCCCTTAAGCTACAGGCCCATCAGCCTGCTCAGTTCGTTAAGCAAAGTAGTTGAATCAATCCTTCTCGATCGGCCCTTAGACCACGTGGAATAAAACAACCTTCTCCCCGATCATCAACACAGCTTCCGCAGGCATCACGGCACCGGACACTAACTTCTCCGCGTATCCGAATACATTTCCGACAACCTTAACAAGCGGCATCACACCTCCATGCTTCTTCTTGGCGTCAATCAAGCTTTCAACCGAATCTGGCACGAAGGGCTCATCTCAAAACTCATCACACCATTCCACATTTTCTAGTAGGGGTTATCAGGTCCTTTCTCACAAACACAAGCCTTCGGGTCCGCGTTGGCTCTGTTCTCTCTGCCAGTAAACCCGTCACAGCCGGTGTCCC